AAATCAAACCTAAAGAAAAAAAAAAACAAACAAACAAAAACAATCAAACAAAACAAAAAAAAAAGAAAAAAGGAAGAAAATAAAACTAAACTAAACCAAAACAAAATACAACAAACCAATCTAAAACAAATCAAAAGAAATCAATGCCACAATGAAAACAATGCCCCCCCCCAAAAAAAAATTTAAATAATTAAATAATTAAATAATTAAAAAATACAAAAATACGAAAATGAAAAGGATACATATTTTACATGTAATCGTTTTGTGGACAGCAATGTAAGGCCACATATACACTGCAGCTAAATTTGGTTGTCAGTTCACCTTTTAGTGCTTAATCAAATTCTGTACATAGTTCAGTAATTTATGGTAATGACAACTGCATTCTATGACCGAATTAACACCCCAAAAATTTCTGTTATGTTCTGTATACACAATAAAATGATAAAATAGGGAATTCACTCCTGTATTTAAATGCTGTTGTCACTCCTAAAACTTTATGTGGCCTAAGATTTCTCAGTATTCTGAATTACTAAGGACTGAAGATCTGCCTGCAGGGAGGAAGAGAAAAACTGTGTAAAGAGAGTCAGTGCCCTTCAGTGTCATCCACTGCTGTCTGGTATGATGAGCCAGACATGACAGACAGAAATAGAGAGGAGAACGGAGACCCTTTTTTTTTGGCGTTGGCACTGATGCCGCTGTGTATTTGAACAGCTGAGATTGTTTTGATAAGAGCAGTCCAGAGACAGACAGATCACAGAACAGATGTTTGGGTCCCTGCTCGGTAGACTACTGTTGTCATCTCCCTGATCGCTCCCACCACTCTCAGCTTCCTAATATCAGCAGCACATTTGGCCAGAGTACAGCGAGTAACTGACGCCTAGCAGAGAGGTAGAGAGAGATGTTATCTCAAGGAACGGACTAATATTAAAACAGTAAAATTACCAATTTGAGAACGATCAATAGCTGTCTTTCCATCTAAAAACTTTAAAATCCAAACAAAATCCAACAACACCTACACTTAATAGAGCATTACTTTAAAATCGCAGAGTGAATTTACAGAATGCTGATGTGCAGAAAAGAAGAAACTGACATGTGACCTGAAGCACTGTATGTGTCCTTGCTTACAGTAGATGCTTTGAAGAAAACTGAAGGTGCACTTAAGTTCTGTCTGGCTTTTCTTTGTCCCAGTGCTCATGGTCTGTATACTGACAGCTATTGGCATGGACTTTGTGAACTTCCTACATTAACTGCCTCCTAGGGCAGCATCCTAACAGAGATGGAACCTCATAAATGACTGAAAGATTTATTAATTTCAATAGAGCGTGGTGTTAACCTGTCAGGAACAGGAATAGCACATCATTCTTGTCATGACGCTCTAATAAGAATTAACATACATAACACATAATATTGGGTAACAAAAGTTAATTTTGAATTAAATGTTTTTAATCCATTTATTACAGCATTCAATTACTTATATTTATAATTACCAGTTATTTCGCTTTACCTGCCATCTTGCACTTATTTTTATTTTTTTCAGTGTTTGCTGCAGTGCATTTTAAATGCTATTTACAGAATGTACACTACTGATTAAGATTTCTTAAAGAAATTATTACTTTTATTAAAAGTGAGAGAGAGAGTGAAAACTTTCTATTTAAAGAATTTTGAAATTCTGATTCAAAGTTTTCATAAAAATATGAGTAAGAAAAATTGATTTCAACATTGATAATAATAAGAAAGGTTTCTTGAGCAGCAAATCAGCATATTAGAAAGATTTCTGAAGGGTCATGTGACACTGAAGACTGGAGTAATGATGCTGAAAATTCAGCACTGCCATCAAAGCGATAATTACATTTATAAAATGTAATTACAGATATTAAAATATAAATATTATTTTACTCAAAATAGTGTATTTTTAAATAAAATAAATGAATAAATAAATGCAGCCTTTGTGAGCATAAAAGACTTCTTTCAAAAACAAATTGTAGTAAATTTCAAATGGTACAGCACATTTTTTAAAAAACGTTCCTGCCTGCACGTTTAATGTTTTAAAGCCTGTGAATGTGTACATGTGTTTGTGCATGCATGTGAATAACAGTTGCCTTTCCCCAGTCAGACAGCTTATAAGTGTCATAAATAGTCTTTATCTCCACACCACCCACTGGAGGTAAATACAGCACATTAAAACATTACATCTGAAATTGATTAATTTCTCCCAGCATTACAAAAACACTGGACTGCGATCGATCAGTCCACACAAAAAGTGAGATATGCTTGCTCTGGACTGTGGCTTCATTAGTTTTATTACGTCGTATGGACGTTATATGGACGCTGATCTGAAGATTTATGCTAATATCTCACCTCTTGTTTTATAATGCAACAAGGTCATAGAGGCTGCTGCAATCAGATGTGGCACAATAGCATATCTAGCAAATGGTAGCCAGTGATTTACTTGCTTGTTATGTCACGCTTGTCGTTAGATCATATTGTGGAAAACGTCCATAAAATCCATAAATAATTTAACACTCTTGATTTAAAACTCAAACAGTTATCAACAACTGAGCGCTAAGGGGCTTATTTGTGAATACCATGTTCCTATTTAGGATAAATAGTGTCTTAAATAATAAAATAAATAATATATAAAATAATAATAATAAAATAATTTATATTTATCCATTTTATTTAATTTAATAATTAAATATAAAATAATTTAAATAATAGTTTTATATATTTTTTCCTATTCAATTTCATTTAAAAAAATCATCAGAGGAACATTTACTCTGATGCAACAGATGTTGTTTGCACCTGAAGAGTTCTGGAGGTAACTGTGAGGACAGCTCAGTCAATGAAAGTTTCTCACACACTTCAGTCTCGATACTGAGCACAGCAGGTCTAGCACACTCTTAGCACTCAGTATGTTATTCCAGCAATCAGCAGTTTGGTATGATTCAAACAGGATTGGGCGTATTTTGAAAGCACATCTAGATTTCCATGCATATGTTCATAGAGCTCTTTTCCAACACACTTCCCACACAGCAGCACCATGCAGATGTATGCGGCACAAGATAAAGGAGCCGTTCGATAAATAACAGACTGCCAAACATGGACTTTTATAAGAGGTCAATGATTGCAGATGGCATTTAAAAGATCCTTGAATAAGTCTGCAACTTTGAAAACAAGTGAAAGGCGCTCTAACAGGGTCAATTTGAAAAAGAAATCTCACTGCATATCAGCAAAATATATCAAATCAGTTCAGCTGGCATAATATCAACTTTAACCACAGTCTGGTTAAACCAGGTAAAATGACAGAGAATAAAGCTGATGTCAATTAATAACTGTTTGAATTGATGTGATTTTCATATCACTTCAACTTGTTATAACATGTACCAAAGAAATTAAACACTGTGAAAAGAAAAGTAGTTGAAAATAGTCAAAAGCTGTCTTTATCTCTGTGGAAAATACTTGGGCTACAAACATTTCCACTCTAACGGCAATAGTCAATGTGAGAGAACTGGCATCCATCCGCAGTCTGTGCTTACCAATCAACTTAGGCATGAAATGTGATGATGGCCCTGCTCTTTGGCCTTGCTGCTTAACGAGCGAATATTCACCCGTATATTATGCAATTATGCTAAATGGAGTCCACACTGTTAGACCAGATGTTGTTTAATCAACCTCTGAATGAGGAAATAGCTGTAAATTCACGGTTTCCACTGTCTTCTATTATAAAAAAAATGCAAAGGCCGAGGAAAGTATTGTGGAATAAACTCAAGTGATGAGACATCAAAGTCTACAAGTACTGAGGGGCATATATTTGGAAGTAATGCAGTGACAGGAAACAAATAAGATTATATATGTCAATAACATCTGTAAAATAAGCAAATTAGCCAATTTTGATTAAATGAAGGGTTGCGTAAATTAATACACCCTTGATTAAGTACTTAATATGTCTTCTGAGTATTCTACTGACCCTTCTTGGCATTGAGTGTACAAGTTTGTGACAAATCATCCTATCTATCCTTTTTAACTCCTGGAGGATTACCTCCTTAAATGTGCCGATTTTAATGGGGTGTGTTGCTCAACTTGTCTCTACAAAATCCCCCACAGGTGCTCAAGAATGTTAAGGTTGAAGTTTTCCACCTTGGGGAAATGTATAGTCATTGTCATGTTGAAAAATACCCAACATTGCAGGAAATTACGAGAGGGTACCATCTTCTAATTCAAGTTTTTGTATTACATCACATATCCCTAAGAACTTCTCAAGCACAGAACTTCAGTGTGGGAACCAGGCACTTCTCACTGTACTCCTCCCCTATCAATGCCACACCATTTTAGATGCTGTTAGATCCAAAATGACTGACTTGGTCTAATGAGACCAGAGTATGGAAAAGGCTAAATGAGTTCACTGTGCTTTGGCTACAGTAGGTAGTTCCTGTTTGGACAACAATCATACATTTCACTTCTGCATGTTACAAACAGTTACAGTACTCTTTTCATAACTTTTGCCAGCCTTTAGACAAAAGTTACTTTTGCTATACGTTCACACTTAAAACAATGATTTGATAGTAAAGAGTAATTGCTGAATTTGTTAAGCTTCTGAGGGGGTGTACTCATTTATGCTTATTTGATTTTTTTCAATTGAAATATTGTAGGTAAATAACTATTGAATATCTACAAACATACGATTGAAAGTACCCACCTCCACCTGGCCCTGCAGAAGCTCCTCCTCTTCCTCTGGAGCCTCAAGTGCCACTGTAACAGACGCAAACGGACGGCTGGCCATCTGCTGGTGCTCTCGCATTAGTTGCTGTAGAAAGAGACAGAAAAAAAAATATTAAAAATAAAACCATAAACATCATTTCTCATATAAACATAATGAAGAGTATGTTCCTTGTGCTGGCTTACTGCAAGGAATATTTGAAAAATCTTTTGCCACATGGAGTTTTGTTAAACGAGGTCAAGTAGAAGAGGAATACATTCCCATTGGCATCTGGTGTTTTAGTCCTCAAAACTACACCAAACGTTGTGGGTTTGTGTTAGAATCAGGACTGGTAAGAGAACACTGCAAATTTGACATTTTTTCACCTTCAAACCAAACTTACGATTTCATCCGGCAAAGTTTAAACCCCATTGCCTAGCACACTTCAACAACATGTCACGTATTGTTTAAGGATTAGGTCAGTAGGCAGAGAGAAGGTGGTCTATTGCGGCCATTTGAAAGCATTTGGCCTCATGAGCATTTACACTACGAATGCAATCCGGTTGAATGCATTGTCGACTACATCTGGAGCTCACAACAATTCAAAACCCTGTTTACGCCTGTATTTAGTGCTGTCCACTTGTGATTGGGTTGACAAAACGGCATCTTAATACCAGGTGTAAACAGAGCCTTAGATAAACCTTTGATGATGAATTATTTACTGAGGTAAAAGTTAGAAGATCAGTGTGTCACAACAGATGTTTTTTTTATTTGATTTGAGTCACTCGCATCTGCATCACTCTCATCAGCAATGGTCTGGAAGTTGTTGTTCCAAACAGTGGTAAGCATTATCATTTTCCAGGAGGACAGACATGAGACTATGAGTGAAAGTCAAGGTGAAGGGTGGCAGGGTGCTGTGAGTTGATTCATAGGATAGTCACGGTGATGATTGTTAAAACTGGCTATGGCTGTGTGTGTGTCATGGTCAAGAGACAAAGAAACTCACTAGTAGAGTATGAATGGTTTATGTTCCCTGACAAGTCCTTCAGGAGGTGAGAAGGACATTGTGGCATCTCTCGGACCAGATTGTAAATGGCCCATAAAATGCATAATTAACCTCCACATGCTATAAACAATGCTCATCTGGGACACATGATGTTGTATGTTTGTATGTGTGTGTATGAGACCGATATGCTTAGTTTGAAATAAATGTGTGATTCTTCACTATTTTTTGTCTGAACATGCTGCATTCTATACTGTATGGAAGCTTTTCAAAAAGGGAAATCCAACTTTTTATCTTGCAATTCTGACTTTTTTACTGAGAATTCTGAGTTTACATCTTACAATTCTGCTTTTTATTTATTTATTAATTATTATTATTATTAGTATTCCCCCACCACTGTCACGATGCACACACACGAGGAACGAGGAGACGCTGGAGAATACTTTACCAAGTCTTTATTTTCAGGAACCAAGGGAGACGAACTCAGGAAGACGTTTAACAGCGGACAGAGAACTTGGGACTGGGAACACTTTTTATACTGAGAGCACCTGGAGATTTGGTTTGGTGCTCACCCTGCATAAAATAAATAAATAAAAATAATAATAATAATAGTATTATTGTGCTTTGCTTACATTGTGTTTTTTTAAATAAAATAATAAAGTGTGATAATACTATTATATTTTAAAATAAACAGTATTAAATAAAATACAATAATTTTATAGTACCCTTAATACAATGCTTACATTTACATTTTCTTTCCTTCTTTCTTTCTTTATGTTTGTTATTTTTTATATGAATTATCATACTTTTCAAACCTAAGATCATCAAGCTTTTATTTTGGTGGCAAGTAAGTATGTGCACTGTTGGTTTTAGCCCTGCTGAGTAAAGAGCGTCAGTGAAGGAAATGTCACAGTTTTGCATTTTGCTGTGAAACTGGCAGCGCATAGAGTATATTTATGCTTTCAGCTGGAATGGAAATCTTATACAGTACTACAGTTAGTCAATCTAAAATGGTGATTGTGCATTAACAGCTGTCAACCATGTTGGTACACAAATGAGCGGTCCAAACTTGTTTACCCAGCACATTTTTTATTTTGGTCATGCATGCACAGCTGTGCATCACTTATGTGCATCCCTGGCAATAACCTTTTGCGTTGTTTTATTCTGTGGTGGAAATATGTTTGCATAAGAAAGCTATAAATGACTATAAAACAGTCAACAATAAAGATACGAGTCTGGAAACTAGGGATCTGCGGTAGCTTTTATGTCACAGAACAGAGCAAATGAAAACTGATATTTCAGAGAAAATACACTAACAATTGTTTTTGTTTTTTTAATCACATAACCTCACACACTCTTCATGCCGTGTATACAGAATGTATATCACATACAATATCCACAAAAGGTATAAACAGCAGTTCTTTTGGGAGGTGTGAGTCTCTAAATGGGAACAATATTATGTGAGGCAAAACACCAATAATAAAAAAAAAAAAACGATATGAACACACATGAATTAGGGATGCACGATATATCGGCCACCATATCGGTATCGGCCGATAAATGCTCATTTTTTCTGTTATTGGTATCGGCCCGATAAGAAAATTTGGCCGATATCTTAAAGCCGATAAATAATGCATTATTTCCTTCAGAGACACTTCAGATGCGCGCTGTTCGTTTGCAGCCTTTTGTGCAATTGTACGTTGTAAGCTCAAACGGCTGCTATTTAAAACAGTGGTATTAATTTGTTACTTTTTCAAAATCATTGATACATTATTAATAATAACAACCACTTTTATTTTTCTCTTATTATTTTCATCAACAATATGGTTTAGTAATTAAAATCATTTAATTATTGTCCGTGCAGAGGCTATTCCATTTTATTGATCTATGGCGCATTCATTTTGATTCTTTACACGTGTAATGATGTCCAGTGACTTGTTTGCATTATTTATGCATTATTTTATTTATTTGTAAGACTTTTTTATGAATAAATTTGGTAATGGGAGAGTAAAATAATTTTTAAAACGTACACTGTTCAAACTAGGCTGCTTATGTTGAAGTGTTTGGGATGTGGCTTTTAATGATGAGACCTTTTTTATAATCAGGCTCTCAAAAAGTATATAAAAATTTGGATATAGATTTATCGGCCAACATATCGGTTATCGGCTTTCAAATATAAAGAATTATCAGTTATCGGTATCGGCCAAAATGTTCATATCGGTGCATCCCTAACATGAATATATGTTTACACACTAAAATATGTTATGTCTCCTCATGTACAGTACTTAAAAAAAAATACAAAAAGAGGAATATAATGATTCCCTAGTGTAGTACCACCATCAGAACATTAAAGTAATTGTATGGAATAATTCTTGCTGGCTATGCACTATGCATTGCCTGATAAGAATGTAAATTAAATGAGAGATGTTTAATTGTAACAATGAATGCAAGGAACTAGGAACTAGTCCGGAAAATTGCTCGATTCTATATGTAAGGAAAGGAAAGGACGTGACGTGTGGCTTGGAATTTGTGCTCTGCATTTAACCCATCCAAGTGCACACACACAGCAGTGGATAATGAACAAACTTGTTCAAACACACACACCGTGAACACACATCCGGAGCAGTGGGCAGCCAGTGCTTCGGCACCTGGGGAGCAGTTGGGGACTCGGTGCCTTGCTCAAGGGTCTCACCTCAGTTGCCTCAGTTGTGGTTGTAGGAGCGTTGGATATGCTCCTACAATCCCTGCCGGACCTGAGACTCGAACCTGCCGAACCTGCATTACAAGTCTGACTCTCTAACCATTAGGCCACGACTGCCCCCAATGTGACTCAATGTACAGTCAGTTTGGTCACTGTCACAGAATAAACCCCACGATAAAAGGGTCTTTATCATCCTTAAGGGGTTTCTTCTGTGATAATAACTGGCTCACTGTATATTATTGAGCTAATTATGCAGCGACTTAGCAAATAAATAAATGGACATGAAATATTGATTTGGTCTGAAATTATTTCATTATGTGAGATGAAAGAGACTGTGGGATTATATGAAAGATATAAACTAGTTAAGTACAGTTTGTTGGTTATTATACAAAAAATATGCAGATCCAATCAAAATGTATTAGGGAGTATCAAGTATTAGGGAGCTGGGTTAATATATTATGCTAATGTTCAAGCACAGCTGATTGGGCACACAAATGTGTTTCCCATTCCTCAAAAATGCATTACACCTAAACAAAAGATTGAACCTTTTTAGCAACTGACAATATAAAATGCCCGCATATCAGCTGATTTACAGTATCTCCCTGAAGCAAATATACTATAAAATATGTCAAAGTAAAGAATACAGTACATTAGAACAAATACAATCCACTTTTAGGAGTAATCAATGATAGTTGACTTTTATCATTCTTTTACATGAATATCACATGCAAGGATGAACTTCACTAACAGTTGAACTTCACTGCCTCCAGGCTGATTTACTTAAAGGGGTCATATGATGCGATTTCAAGTTTTCCTTTCTCTTTGGAGTGTTACAAGCTGATTGTGCATAGATAAGATCCCTGAAGTTGCAAAGACTAAAGTCTCAAAACCAAAGAGATATTCTTTATCAAAGTTAAGACTCTGCCATGCCCCCCTAAAACGGCTCGTTCTAACACGCCCCCACATATCTACCTCACTATGTGGAAATATTAGCATAATGCGGCCCAAATGTGCACGCAAAGAAAGAAGGCGTGGTTTCAGTAACCGCAGTTAGTGTTGAAGCAGCCATGTCAGGGAGACGCTGTGTGTTTCTAGGCGAAAGCAAAAGCACTTTGTTTGGCCTTCCGAAAGTAGATGCATTTAGGAATCTTTAAGATTACTTACAACAGAATAGCAATGCATTTTATGGACGACCGTTTCGTGAACCTAGGAGAGGAGGTAATGCGGAGTTTTGAGCATCGTGTGTGTGTGTGTGTGTGTGTGTGCGCGCGCGTGTGTGTGTGTGTGTGTG